ACACGGGAAGATGCGGCTTGGAGAGGGAGGAGATCGCAGGCGGGATTGGGCCGAACGACCTCGGAGGAGAGGCGTGGATTTTCAGTTTGGAGTCGAGAGAGCTTCGGTAGTGGAAGTTTACGGGAGAGGAGTTTTGTGCGAGAGGAGATCATGACAAGCAGAGGGAAGAGCGACTGAGGGTTCGGTATTTAACGACTCGAATGGAAGCGGGATCGAGGACTCGTCGCACGATTTTCGCAGAAATCCCGGAACGGCGCCGGATGTACAGTAAATCAACGGGATTCTAGCAAGATTTCGGCAAAAATCAAGGATCCAATGGTTACGAGGTATGCTTTTGAATTTTTTTTTTTTTTTTTTTTTGGGTATAACGTAAGGTCAACACTTTAATTCTTCTCAAATTCATGTGCTAATTAGTTAGCAAATTTTGGTGCTAATTCAAATACAGGTATGAATTTTGACGGCTTAACAATCATAATCATCTTAATGGTTTAATAAATGCTGATAAAACAGGGTTGTCTAATCTCAGGGGTCCATGAAATTAATTTTGGGGCATTGCTTTGGCTTCGGTGGTGTTTCTGATTTCATTATATTTAAAGGCTTTGCTTAATGCTAGGATAGCTGTAATGATAAGGGCTTATATGATGGGAACATATTGCGTGGCAGTAAATTTTATATCTAACTTGGTGCATATCTGTGCCGTTTGGTATGAATTCAATTTTTGCTATATGCTTAATTCAGGACTCTTTATTATATGCCAATTTTCCATAAGAAGGCTGCCTTGGTTTGTGCTGGCTTTGATTTCCTAGTCTCTAAGCTGTTGGCATTTTTATTCCTTCCTAGTATAGTCTCTTTTGGTGGAGTTTGGTTTTATTAATATGGCATATTTTACCCTTATCTGAGCTTAAGCATTGCAGGTTTTCTCATATATTTCAGTTGTTAGCGGCTTCCCAGAATTTGTATATTACTTGGTCAGTTTGTATGGGTTGTTATGGCTGCATTATTTGAAATCGAGCCCATAACTGTCAATGGCACAAAATAGCGCGAGCCATGGCGCACGGCGCGGCGCGGCACACCTATGGCATCATGTTCATGGCGAGGCGCATGTGTTTAAAATAGGGCGCGCTATTTGCGCCACATGCGAGCCATGGCGCAATGCGCACGTCGCAAAATAGCGCGCCAAATTTTTTTTAAATTTCGGTATACTTATGAATCTTTTTTATACTTAAAAATATATTTATATTTTAAGATAAACAAGTATTCATTTCCCTAATTTCACGAAAGATTTTCTATTTGCTGCATCCGCCGAACACATCCCGCAGTCCCTAAGTCGAGGTCACTGAATCTATCCCGCAGTCGAAGGTTTTTGTTTTCTGTTTGCTGCATTCGCTGCTTCCGCCGAATCCAGCCGAATCTGTCCCAAAGTTGAAGTCGTTGTTTCCGCCGAATCGTCCCGCAGAGCAGTGCTTCTGCCAAATCCACCCCCTCCTTCCTCTGTTCTAATAAAAAATCTTACCAGCTAACTCTGATTTGCAACCTCCGTCTGTTCTTCAGAGCTCTATTGTTTTGCACGGCTATTTCTTACAAGAATTTACAACTTAACAGGTATGCTCGGTACCGCTAGGAATATGCTCGATACCACTAAGTAAATGCTCGGTATCGCTATGTATATGCTAGATATCACTCGGTACCGCTATTTACATGCTCGGTACAGCTCGGTACAGCTCGGTACATGCTCGATACCGCTAAGTAAATGCTCGGTACCACTATGTATATGCTGGATACCGCTCGGTACCGCTATTTACATGCTCGGTACAATTTGGTACAGCTAGTTACACACTCGGTACAAGCTCGGTACCGCTAGGTACACACTCGGTATCGCTAAGTACATCGCATGATACCGCTCGTACCGCTATGTAAATGCTCGGTACCGCTCGGTACATGCTCAGTACCGCTAGTTACATGCTCTGTACCGCTCGGTACAACTATGAAAATTATGTGAAATATAATAGAGCACTGATTCGGAGATTCAATCATCGTGATGTCATTGATCCTATTTCTTTGACTGAGATAGATGATGCAAAGGAATGGCTAACAGGAAAATTAGATGATGAGTCTGATGAAGAAAATGACTTTTATTGCTGGAGAGGAAGATTTAACTTGGACAAGTGTTGTTAAAGCTACTGATGTTTTATGATAAAAAGTTATAATTTCGGGAAAGATCTAAAGGAAAAGAGAAAGAATCTTCAATTAGGCATGATGTTGCTATTGAGAATGATGATGAGGAGGGTGATGAAGAGGATTATGAAGTAGGAGACAATATTGAAGAAGATAATGAAGCTTTTTTAACATTTGCTAATGATGATGATTCCCAAGAAGAGTAGTTTAAATTCTTATTTGATCTTTTAAAAAAATATTGTAATATTTGAATTATGAAATATTTGGAATGTTACTTATTCGAACTTAATATGTTATGATTGTCTTTTTATTATTATGATAGCTTGTCTTTCATTTTTAATAATATTTCATATTCATGCTTATTATTTTATAATTTTTAATATAGTCTTTGCGCCATGTTCAAAATAGCGCGCGCCGCGCCGTGAGCTATGCGCCATGGCTCCAAAGGGACCTTCGCGCCATGGTGCGCCATTCGCCGTTAACAAGTATGATCGAGCCTCAGTGTTTTCTGCTGTTGGTTATCCTTCAGATTGGCTTTTCTCAGTTATGACTAATAGTTTTTATTGGTTTGATCTTAGTCATTATAACAATCCTTGAAGATTGAGGTTCTATGTTAAGTTGGATCATTCTTTATCTACGACGAGTCTTTAATTTTTCATTTAACTTATTTATTTAGTTGGATGAGGTCATGTATTATATCTTGGGAGGTTTTGCTGATTGGAGCTCTCATATTGGACCGTTCGAATGAAAGATGGATGCAGGAGCTGCAAGAAATGTCTTTGCTTTTATCTGTGAGCTATATTCTCTTTAGCTACATGATATTACTTTGGACTAAATTCCTTGGATCTATATTCTCTCATTTGCGTGTTGATAGGTGCTATATTCTTTTAGCTACTGGACAAGACATTGGTTGAATTTCTATTGGATGAATTGTACCAAGATCGGACATTTTGCTTTTTATGTATTTTGATTTCATTTATAGGTCCTTTGATCTGCATTTATTGGCCGTATTTCTTTTCATTTTGAATTATGTTCGGTTTGATGCTTCAACAGGTTATCCAGTTGAAGATACATAAGCAACTTTTTCCTGATAAGTTTTACTGATAATTCCAACCTGTTGAGCATAATTTTCTTTTATTTTAATAAAATTATTTTTATTGTTTCAAAAGAATTTTATTAAGACACAATATACGCATACAAGAATATGGCAATGCTTCGAGACTAGGATCTAGTTGCTCAAGTAAGTGCAACTACACAATATCACATTCGAATATTTGTATGTATTTATGTGTGCTTGCATATTTGTATGTATTTATGTGTGTGCTTGCAAAGCTTCAAAAGTATCACCGGATGCATATCTGAAATGCAAACATCACAAGGACAATACAAAAGTGGCTCCGCAGCAATTATTAGACAGCTGTAAATACAAACCCAATAAGCTTTTGAACGAATCTTATGCACGGGCAAATAAAATAAAATAATCCAACCATGCTACAAAGAGGTAATGATTAATTAACAAATGGCAAACCTTACCTGAAGGAATAAATCCGTGTGCGTTTTTCCATCATAAAGAACAACTTTCGCCTGAACACCTATACTCGTAAGTGCTTCAGCAAAACTGGCGCTGTAAAACAAGTTCAGATCAGTAACTGCTATAGCAAAGCTTAGATTTTTAAACAAACAGATATTTCCTTAAAACAAATAGAGAAAGAAATATGCAACAGTAGAGTAAGGAAATTAAGACAACTGAAATGATGTGCCAAATTAAGTATTTCATGCGGAAGTAGACAAGACAAAAACTCAAGTGGAAGTTTACTTCATCTTAGTTAATGAAGAATCTGAAAATCACATTAAAACCAGATTTATAACCACAAAGATCATGCACAAGCCTCTTTGAACATAAATCACACATGATCGCTAAAAAAAAGTGTCAAAAGAGTTGTAATACAAATAAATATATACAAGTACATCAGCATGCACCAAACTGGAGGTGGATGGGGATAAAGAAGTGTCCTAGCCCGAAAAAATCAATCCAACGAATCAGTGTGGTAGCTGACAACACATTATGACATCATCTTTGATGACTCCTTACTTTCCATATAAACAATAAACTATGCATGTTAAGCATAGTAGACATGATCTATTAAATACCTGAGCGATTAATAACCGCTGACATGCATTTAACGCTAACTTTAGCGCATCCAACAAGAATGGCAATCAACTGACGTGGCACCATGCAAAATAGGTTATATGAGCACGATGCTTCGCAAAATCATCGGAACCTCCGTTCATGAAACAGACCGCATCATCACTTTCAGAACATCGAAATTATCGAAGAAGGACCTCTCATGATCAATTTGAGCTAATGAGGTTCAAAACTACAAATTACAAGTGCGGTGCTACATGAAATTACCCGAATAACCTACTTTGTAAAACACAACGCATTTCATCTGATACATCAAAATTATTAGGAAAGAACACTCCTATTGCTTGGATGCCTCCACCAGAAAATTGTGAAAAAAAAAAAAAAATCAACCAACACTCATGAAAGGAGGGCAAGTTTGACATGCATGAAATAAGGATGAGTTCGACGTGCATACAACAACATCAAGCCCTTATCCCACTATGTGGGGTCGACGACATGAATCATATCATTTTTCTCAATTGTGTCATGTTAAAAGTCAAAATCACATTTAAATCTAATTAAAAAGGTCATTTCAAATATTGTCTAACCAAGTCTTTTTAGGTTTACTCTAACTTTCTTAACATCAACCATATCTAATACATCTACTCTCCTAACATGATCATTAGAAGACAGACGTTTTATATGACCAAAGCATCTAATGCAACTCTTTCTAATCTTATCTGTCACTGGAGCTACTCCAACCTTTTCACATGTATACTAGTTTTGCATTCTATCTATAAGAGTGAAACCACTCATCCACCTAAGCATCCTCATCTCTGTAACACTTAATTTTATGATTCTCTTTTAATGGCCAACATTTTGTGCCATAAAGCATTGCAGGTCTCACCACCATCTTATAGAATTTTCTTTTAAGTTTGAGTGCTACTTTTCTATCACATAATAGGCCCGATGCATTCCTCCACTTCAACCATCCAACATAAATTCTACTAATAATATCCCCATTTATTTCACCATCACCTGAACAATAGACCCGAGATATCTAAAACGTGTACTCTTATTAATGACATGATCGCGCAAAGTCACAATCCCCCCACTAGATCTATTATTGCTAAAAATGCCTTTCATGTATTTGGTTGTAGATTTACTCAAATGAAAACCTTCAAACTCTAAGGATGACCTCCATAATTCAAGTATACCTTCAACTCCCTCTCTAGTCTCACAACAAGAAGAATATCATCAGCAAATAGCATACACTAGGGTACATCCTTTTGCAAATGTCAGGTAAGAAAATTCATGACTAAGGAAAAAAGATGTGGGCTCAATACTGATCCTTGATGTAATCTAACTAAATAGAAAAATACTTGGTCGAACCACCTTGTGTTTGAACACAAGTAATAGCTCCTGCATACATGTCCTTAATGACTTGAATATAAGCATTAGTAACCCCTTTCTGTTCTAGAACTCTCCAAAGGACTTCTCTTGGAACTTTATCATATGCTTTCTCTAAATAATATAATATCATATGTAGATTCTCCTTATTCTCTCTATGCTTCTCCATCAAACCACTCAATAAATGTATGACTTCCATAGTAAATCTACCCGGCATGAATCCAAATTGATTTTAAGAAACAGTAGCATCATGACATAACCTATGCTCAATAACTCTCTCCCATAGTTTAAAGTATGACACATTAACTTAATTCCTCTATAATTCGAACACTCTTGTGCATCACCTTTATTCTTAAAAATAGGAATCAACATATTCCTCCACTCATCTAGCATATCTTTTTAGCAATGAAAATTCAACAATTGGGTCAACGTGTACTTAAAATAAATATCAATTTAGAAATTTTATTTAAAAACATTAAATTTTAATTCAAAATTAACTTTTTTAATACATAAATTATTAAAAACTAAAAGAAAATCTAAAATCTCCGGGTACACCTACAACTATCCATTTTTTTTTAATCTAAAAAAAAATTACATAAAAGTTATTCACTCAAATCTTAACACCACACACCTAACAATCCCTCATAACTCACACTCATGCTAAAACCCAGTCATATAACTCTACCCCTCCCTCATGACTCCCTACTTCATATAACACTTCAAAACTCGCAACCCTCTCTCTTCTCCTTCTCCGGCTTCTTCTATTTATTTCTCTTTCTCTCTACCCCCCTCTCAATCTCACTGTATCTTTCTCTCACTAAACATAGAAAGAGAAAGATTTCCCTTTCTAAATCCCTCTTCAATGTTTCTCAATTTCTTATTCCCCTCCTATTTCTTTCTCTTTCTCTCTGTTACTCTCTCTCTCTCTCTCTCAATCTATTACCCCATCCCTCTTTCTCAATCTAAATAGATAGAAAGAAAGATTTCTCTTTCCAATCCCTCTCTTCTCATTCTCATCTCTCTTCTTTTCTCTTTCTAAACAGTGAGAGAGAACAACCAAAAAAAGAAGAAAATCCTTTCATTCTCTTCTATCTAAATAGTGAAAAAGTCCTTTTTCTCTCGCTAGTTATCTCTTTCCTCTCTCAGCAGAAAGAGAAACCTATTCCTCTAAAGAGAGAGAAAGACTCTCTCAAAAATCCTCTCTCAATACATCTTTCCGTTTCTAAAAAGAGGAAAATCTCTCCCCGACAAAAAAATAAAGAAAAAATATATAATATATCAAAAAACTTTTCATTTGCTTTCTTGCAACTTCGTCATCTTTAGTCAATTCATAATCTTCACACATAGGTAGAAAGCTGCAACTCATAAAAAAAGCTTCAAAACCATTGGCGATGTGTTTGAACAATGCCCAAAAAACCTTTTTTCTTAGCATAGCGGGAGAAAGATCGTTGTATACATTCAAGATACCATGGGTAAAACCCATTGGCGACGTGTTCGATATGGTGTATGGAGCCCCATACATGTTTTTATTAAGAGTGGTGAGAAGAAGCTTGTCAAAAATATTCGTGATGTTGCAGGTTAACGCCATTTGCGATGCATTTGGAAACTGAGTGGAATCTCATACATGTTTTTCTTAGTGTGACAGGAGGAAGCTCGTCAACAATGTTTGTGACATGACAGAGTGATTTACTTCTTGAATTTATTGTGCAAGTACCCCATACGCACCTTTCTTGACATGGTGAGACTTTTAAAAATTATATTGTAGTATCATAGGAAAACAATCATAGATGCCTTTCGTGGCATGCTAGGCAAGCCTCCCGGTGAATTCCTTCTATGCAAAGGAGTCGCCATAAATACTCCAAAAATTGCATATAAGGAAACTAAAACTAACAAAATGCAACAAATCAAAGCAATGAATATGCAGATCAGAACATCTTAAATGCTATGTAACAAAAATATAAAGCAAACTAAAATATGAATAATGAATAAAAATACAAAACTTATAGGGGGCTATGCAAAATTTGATAGCTTGCTAAGAGCAAGTACAAAACCTCATTCCTACACATCAAACAATGAGCAAAAAAGGGAAAAATCGACAATGCAAGCAATGCACGTGTCAACGTGACATGTCACTTGAAGGGTTAAATGACCTCTGATTGCCAAACAGACTGCGTCATTGCAATCAAGACATCAAGTTCATCTAAAAGGAGACCCCTTGCAGTCAAATCAGACAAGATCGATCCAAAGGGAGGACCGACACCCAAAATTGGCATGTGACGTCGCCCAAATGATGCCTGTTTGCAAAATGGACTTCGTTGTTGCAGTCAAAACATCACCAACACCCAAAGTGAGAAAATTTTATCAATTAAAATCGTGCATGGAAATTAGCGTGCGTCCCGAGGAAACTACAAGCAAATAGACGCGCAATGTTGCCCAAACGACGTCCGATGGTAGAACGAACTTCGACATTGAGTCCAAAATGTCGACATTACCCAAAATCAATCATAACATCGCCCAATAAAAATCGCGTGGGCAAAACGACGTTAGTCTTATCCGATTACGTGTAAATGAAGGGAATCACACGCAAATCGAGGCAATTGCAAGCGATTAATCATTCATATCCATTCATAGTATAATAACAAAGATAATAACAGCTTGTTATCACTATCCTTATTTTAATTCTTTAATTTTTAAAAAAAAAATCAAAATCATCAAATCAAAACTTACCTCGTATCGCTTGATCAAATCTCTGTCTAAATCCTCAGATTTTCGTTGAAGCGTCGCAAAAATCCCGCTGAAACTCTGCAAATCAGTCGCCCTCTAGATTTTCTGCCTCAATCGAAGGCTCACTATGACGAGTAAAACGAAGTAAAATGAGTTTCGTCTGTCTACGCATGATAAGCCTCAATTCCAATCGCTCCCTCAAACTTCTTATCCACTATAATAGCAAAGCTCATGCCTCTACTTTTTTCGTCTCCACCCCTCCAGGATCGAACCAGTCACTAGCGATTTAAGCCTTTGATTCATCCGACCTATACCTGTCAGAGCCTTATCCGTCCATCCCAAACACCTTGCCTCCTCTTCTCTTA